ATGATATTGAAACTTTAGGGTATACGCATATGCTTCTCCTACGAGTAACTTGATTACTCACCCTAGTGGTTTAGGTTGTTTTTCAGGTAAAGAGACCATGTTCATGGATGCTCATCATCCTTAGAAGCTTTTGAGCTAGTTGAAGCATTTTTGTATATTAGCATGCATTTGTTTAACATGTTTTATCTTTTAGATGTAATACTTTTGTATTCCATGGATGTATGGTATTTTAGAAGCTAAGATGGCTTCCTTCATGTAATGTGTATCTAAGTACTCTTTTTGATGCTTGTTTTGTATATATAGCATGAGGCCAAGAGCCATTAACATGAAAGATTACAAGCATGTTCTCTTTAAAACTCAAGTATTGCCATTGTAGCTTATTTGTGAGAAATAGAGGCTTTGTATGCTAAACTTGTTAATGGAATGTAAAGAAGATTTAGGCCATGTTGGTACATCTATTTTATCATATTGCATACACTTGCATACTCACTTTGGCAAACAATACCTTCCTTGATGAAACAAAAACCTAAAGTTGCATATTTTTTAGTTTTGACCCTATTCTGTTACAGGGGCATTTCGGGTATTTCATAATTATTTTTTTTCATTCTTCTTCGCAAATCACGTAGAAAACTTGATCTTGAGGGGGGTTTCTTTTTTGTGTTTTTCTAGAAAACATCATCTTAGCCCTCAAAAATCCATATTTTTCCAGAAAATCCTTGCTGCCAGGTTTTGCAAATTTTTAGTACAAATGTAGTTGGTACTATTCATCGATTTTTTTTTGAAAATCGTCACGACCGATCCGAAACTTCCGGAGGTCTTGTGGGAGTATTTTAAGATTGCATTTTTAATTTAGGCAATTTAAAAACCTCCTGAAGCCCTGTTTCTAAAACTTGGGCTAGCTCGGATTTTTTTTTTCCTCTTGACCTGATTTTCTTAGGGGCATTTTGGGTATTTTACAATGCATTTTTTTTTTGTTTCTGTCTACTATCCGGGGTAGAAAACTTGATTTTAGGGGGGGTTTCTTCTTTGAGTTTTTCCAAAAAAGCCCGTTTAGATGCCCGTTTTTACTCTCAGTTGCAACAGTGGTGGGTTTTTCTCGTCGGGCCGCCACGACATCATTTTTGTTTTTGACCTTTCTCCTTCGTCCGGATTCCGAATAATGCAATTCTTGAGTCTATCATGAGCTGCACTTTATTTATTTATTATTATTTTTTTTTTTGAGGAATCATCGTTTCGTTGAAATTTTAATTTTAAAAATTAATTTTCCCCTCTTGCAATTCTGACGTCTCTTAATTGGCTTCAGTTGATATTCATCATCAGCTTTATTGTTGTTAGTCATCAAATTGATAATCTTAACATCATACCTTTCGTATGTACAATTTTTTTTATTTTTATTTTTTATCTATATATATTTTTTATTTTTGTTTTGTTTATCTGCACGTATGTTTGTTTATTTAAAATTTTGAGATATTGGAGGATACTAAAATTTATACATGTCCTCTGTATGTAAGAAGGGAGGAGTATTAAGACAGACAGTGTGATCTTCTCCTAAACAATCCATGCATACAAAAAGTACAAATTTAAGTGGAATGCTCCATTGTATTCTTCTATATTGATCTTGCAATGATATTGAAACTTTAGGGTATACGCATATGCTTCTCCTACGAGTAACTTGATTACTCACCCTAGTGGTTTAGGTTGTTTTTCAGGTAAAGAGACCATGTTCATGGATGCTCATCATCCTTAGAAGCTTTTGAGCTAGTTGAAGCATTTTTGTATATTAGCATGCATTTGTTTAACATGTTTTATCTTTTAGATGTAATACTTTTGTATTCCATGGATGTATGGTATTTTAGAAGCTAAGATGGCTTCCTTCATGTAATGTGTATCTAAGTACTCTTTTTGATGCTTGTTTTGTATATATAGCATGAGGCCAAGAGCCATTAACATGAAAGATTACAAGCATGTTCTCTTTAAAACTCAAGTATTGCCATTGTAGCTTATTTGTGAGAAATAGAGGCTTTGTATGCTAAACTTGTTAATGGAATGTAAAGAAGATTTAGGCCATGTTGGTACATCTATTTTATCATATTGCATACACTTGCATACTCACTTTGGCAAACAATACCTTCCTTGATGAAACAAAAACCTAAAGTTGCATATTTTTTAGTTTTGACCCTATTCTGTTACAGGGGCATTTCGGGTATTTCATAATTATTTTTTTTCATTCTTCTTCGCAAATCACGTAGAAAACTTGATCTTGAGGGGGGTTTCTTTTTTGTGTTTTTCTAGAAAACATCATCTTAGCCCTCAAAAATCCATATTTTTCCAGAAAATCCTTGCTGCCAGGTTTTGCAAATTTTTAGTACAAATGTAGTTGGTACTATTCATCGATTTTTTTTTGAAAATCGTCACGACCGATCCGAAACTTCCGGAGGTCTTGTGGGAGTATTTTAAGATTGCATTTTTAATTTAGGCAATTTAAAAACCTCCTGAAGCCCTGTTTCTAAAACTTGGGCTAGCTCGGATTTTTTTTTTCCTCTTGACCTGATTTTCTTAGGGGCATTTTGGGTGTTTTACAATGCATTTTTTTTTTTGTTTCTGTCTACTATCCGGGGTAGAAAACTTGATTTTAGGGGGGGTTTCTTCTTTGAGTTTTTCCAAAAAAGCCCGTTTAGATGCCCGTTTTTACTCTCAGTTGCAACAGTGGTGGGTTTTTCTCGTCGGGCCGCCACGACATCATTTTTGTTTTTGACCTTTCTCCTTCGTCCGGATTCCGAATAATGCAATTCTTGAGTCTATCATGAGCTGCACTTTATTTATTTATTATTATTTTTTTTTTTGAGGAATCATCGTTTCGTTGAAATTTTAATTTTAAAAATTAATTTTCCCCTCTTGCAATTCTGACGTCTCTTAATTGGCTTCAGTTGATATTCATCATCAGCTTTATTGTTGTTAGTCATCAAATTGATAATCTTAACATCATACCTTTCGTATGTACAATTTTTTTTATTTTTATTTTTTATCTATATATATTTTTTATTTTTGTTTTGTTTATCTGCACGTATGTTTGTTTATTTAAAATTTTGAGATATTGGAGGATACTAAAATTTATACATGTCCTCTGTATGTAAGAAGGGAGGAGTATTAAGACAGACAGTGTGATCTTCTCCTAAACAATCCATGCATACAAAAAGTACAAATTTATCGAGATTTCTTATCAAGATTACTACCGGACAATCCATACAGAATTACTGAGATGTAAGGGAAACCGAACAATCACTGACTTAACCATGGTGTATAAACTTTTTAATGTAAAGAATTATGCAAAAGAATGTATTTATTTTATGCAAACAGATTAACCACGGTGTATAAACTTTTTAATGTAAAGAATTATGCAAAAGAATGTATTTATTTTATTCAAACAGAATAGGTAAGAAACCAATAATTATGTAGCATAATATTTATGGTAGTCAAACAGAATAGGTAAAAATCAAACCCATTACAAATCAGACTTGTCTATTCTTTCTCGTTAAAATTTTCTTACGACATACTATGATAATTGTGACTTTGTAAATAAGACCATTCTGTCAAAAACTAATTAGTAAAACATTTTGATAAATTTGTTCTAAAAAAAAGTTGTTACGAGAGAAAAAAAAAAAAAAAAAATTTGTTTAAACAAATTTGATGTGATTTGAATTTTTTATCACAATACTTCTCCTCTAAATGTTAAAAAAATTGTACATATGAAAGGTATGGTGTTATAAAGGGTTGTTTGGTAGGGATTTTGACTTCAGGGAGTGATTTGTATAAAAATTGGGTTGGGCTCTCCTGGAGGGCAATTCCTGTTGGAATTGTATGGTTGATTGTTACGATTTTTGTTGATTTGAGAATGGTTAGTTTTCTTTTTATATTCTTGATTCTTGGATGGACTTGATAGTAGTGATACAAAAATTTTTAGGTTGAAGTTCTGGTTACTAGAAATGTTGAAGAACAATGATACACATTCAGAATTTTGAATTCTGAATGTGAGAGGGAAACGATGGGGCTCACCACCTTTCTCACATTCTGGAACGAGAGTTTTGCTGCAAGATTCCATTCGAATGTCCATACAAAGATCATTGGCCAATGCCCGGCCTTGCCCTATAAATATAATTCATTTATATCCAAAAAGAATTTTTAATATAACCCACTATTATGGTTATATGAATATTTTTTATATCTTATTGCTATTCAAGGTCTCCTCCACCTCAGACACATAATTTTGTGGTTTCATCACTGTTTTGTACAGATTTCAAGAATGAATTCGATCAAAATTGATCTATATATATATATATATATATATATTTTTTTTTTTTTCACTACAACTATTTAGTGCTTCATATTTATTTATTGTTATTTTGGTGTCTGGATGATTTGGTGTAGAATAATCATACTCGACTCGATAAAGTCTATTTCAACTATTTAGGTTTGGTTACATAAATCCTATTTTCTTTTCCATTTTAAAGCCATAACCTTAGGCAAATCTTGAGAACTGTTCAGGAAGTCAAGTTTAAAAAATACCAGCATTGCTATTACATCCGAATGATATTCTCTATATCCTGTCTTTCAGTTTCTGGTCGCAATCGAAAATACTAAAGTGATTGTACAGTTTTTATTTTTATTAGGAAAAAATTTAAGAGAAGTGACTAAAAAAATAAATCAAATAGGCCCTTACAATCCCTTTGTTAGTGAAAGGAAGGAAATTTTATGAATGCTCTAGAAAGCGACCCTTCATAAACCAGAATAAGCCTTGCAATTGACTTGTTAGTGAAGTTCTGATACTAATAATTTAGCCAGGGTCCCATTTGAAGGTTATATTAGTTCGCTTACAAAACATAGAATATCTCCTGCATAAGATCTTGTTCAGAACTAATAATTGGTGCCATTATATACTTATTGCAGGTCATATCCACTAGTTGTTCACCCAAGATTGAGCTTGATCAGAATTTTAGGTATGATATATTTCTTACTCCTCTTATTATGTTTTATTTTATTTGTTTATTTATTAATTTCTAGATTTTAATGCTCTATAAGTTTATATTACCTAGATAGTTAGTTCTAATGCTCTTATTATGTTTTATTTTATTTGTTTACTTATCAATTTCTGGATTTTAATGCTCTTATTATGTTTTATTTTAATTGTTTATTTATCAATTTCTGGATTTTAATGCTCTCTATCATGGATCTATCATGATTATGCATATATTTTTGTTTTCCTTCTTGTGTACCTCATGTTTATATGGGTTGTACCCTTGTTTTGGCGCCTTTTAATGATATTTTACCACTTCCCCCCTCCCTACCAAAAAAAGAGAGAGCCTATGCATCAAGTACATATATTTTGTTTTGCAGATATTTTTTTTAAAGGACCATTTGTTTTTACCAGTAATTGGCCTTGCATGTGTTTTGTTTAATTTATCCAGAGACAGCCTCATCACTTTGTTCTCTCATTTACCAAAATTTGTTAGATAAATGAAAATTCTTTCTCCACAAAGGGAGTGGAATGAAAATTAAATTTGATTATACAATTTTTGAAATATAATTCACTGGAGGCTGGGGATTGATGGATGAAACAATTCTGAAAACGCTGTTCATGACACATTTTATTCGTTTGTGACTTTTTAAAATGTGTCAATTATGTGTGCATGAGCTGGTTATCACTACAAGAAATTAGGCTATTCCACCGTCACAACTCACAAAGCTCGATCTTTAGTTCTTCACCTCTTCTGTTCTTCTCAACGGCGCCCTGCTCTACTACCTAATAGCAACCTTTGGAAGGTTTCTTCCGTTTCCAGCCAAGCCAACCTCCTAATCTCAGTAGAGGCAAGCAAAATTTCTTTCGTACTTTTCCTGTTTGCCATTTTTCATGATCCTCACCCTAGTTTTTTCTAGGGTTTTGAAATTACAAAAGGCCTATTGAAGGGGTAAATTACAAATCTGGAAAAGGCTTGTAATCTCCAAACAAACATGCTCAAAAGATTGAAACAGGGAATAGAGCAAGTTATAACAATCTTAGATCACAAGTAGGCTTGAAATATCTTAAACCCTAGTCTTCAGTTAAATCACCTGAAACTTGAGTTAATTCTGGTTCTTACAGCTTCACATACTCACAATGCACTAACTCAATTAGATACTCTAGTTCTTTCAACAAGAGACACAGTTGTAGTGCACAATAAGTGCTAGGACAGAACTGACATCAGTTTTACACTTGAATTTTGCACAAGTGAGAATAAGCAGGTCTATCTGCAATGTAGGTGAAAGTAGGCCTTGATTCAAGTTCCCACAACACTAAATAAATGAAACTTGTTCAGAATGATACTCTTCAGTGTATAGTAAGTTTACTTCAAATTGCAGCTCAAAATAAGTCACAACAAAGTTTGAGCTGAAACTTTGTTCTTAGGGACTAAATCGTAATTTTACTTCCTTACAGCCTTGAACTTGATTCCAAACACCTCAATCCAGTTATATATATATGCTCAGAAGGTAATCACAGCAAAACTAGCAATATGAATCAACTAGAATGAGTTTAAAACTTTATGTAGGCTATTTTATTCAATAAGGCTGTTTTGTTTGGTTTGAGAGTTCAAAACCAAATACACTCAATTTTCAGTCTTGATCTTTGTCAACAGAGCTCTATAATGATTAAATATACTTGTTCAAAGCATAAACTCAACACATACAAGAAGTAATCAACATAAAACAGTCCATTAGAGGCTATGCACCAGAAAAGTAGGCTGAAACTGAGATATGAGTACTCATATTGTTTTCTGTGCAAAATTAGGCATATACCTGAGTTCTGCAGATGTAAATAAATGCACCAAGCTTGCTTCAACCATCACACAGCACTTGGAACCTCTACAACCAATTTTGACCCTTCAATCCAGCCTCAACATCAACATAAATGCATTAGAAAATTCTGCTTCACAGGTTTAGAAATTCTTCAGTGGATTAGTGCACTCTCATAGTGATTTCATAGATTAAATTAGCTCAGAACTTCAATTAATCTCTCTGAAAGTGACTCATCTCGAGCCTCATACTCAATGCAGCTCAATATATAAAAAGAGGCTCAATATTTGCACACATAGGTGCTGCTCTATAACAGTATATTTATACACTGAATTTGCTGCCCTAGTGTGAATAAGAATATTCCCCATTTAACCAATCATAGATAGGAATATATACAGAAATTATATACCATGAATGGACCAAACAATCCCTGTACAAGCCTAGCTTGTGTCACACCAACCACTTTTTCTGCAGCCCTCACAGGTCAATGAACAATGCTAAAATTTACAACAAAGAATTGTATTTCTGTGCATATTTTTCTCTCACCAGGACCACTATGCACGTGGCACATTGTTGTGAACCCTTTAACAGCCTTGAGATATCAATGTAGTACCAGAATTGCCCTTGGAATGATACACTTTGTGTATACAAGCTAAATGATGATATTCAGCAAATTTTTCTGAAGCAAAGATACAATGCACCTTCAGAAAATGTTTCCAATCATACACTGCAGTTTAGATTGATCAAAATACCCCTAAGGATGCAGCTGAGATTACATAATTGCCCTTCACTGATGACACTTGTCACTTTAAACCAGATGATACTTACTGTAGCCCTTGAAAGTGACCAGATGATGCTTGCTGCAGCCCTTGAATTTGTGATTCAACCTTGATTCAACCTTTAATATAATATCTGTAGTGCAATGTAGTATCAAAGACAAGTGTAGCAATATTGCTCCCATGTATAGAAAGACTAATATGCCCCTGTGTTAAGACTTGTATTCAAGAACAAACCTTAAGATAGGTGATACCATTTAGCCTCAAGATTAGTATTTTTCATTCAAAGAGAAAACCAGATCAACAGAATTCCACAGGAAAATAGTAAGTCAAGAAAGGCAAGAAAGTCAAGAAAGGCAAAACGAAGAAGATGAGGAAGTTGAAAGTCCTGAGGAGGGTCCTGCTATTCGCATGTACAAGGACACGCATTTTTGGGAAGAAACTGGATGGGTAAACGAGAGAGCTAAGCAGAACTACGTAAGTTTTTTTCCCCCTTTTTTACTTTCTATTTAATTTTCTTAATGTGTTAGTATTTCCATCTTGTTTGATAATAAGATTGTGTGTATATGTGTGGTAAATTAGTTGCAGTATTAGTATGTTTAGAAGAGGAGAATGTTTGGAAGAAGTTGGTGATGAGTTGTGTTTATATATATGTGGGAAGGAAAATAAAATTCATACGGAGAGGCACTAGGCAGGGGTAAAAAAACCATTAATTTTACATGGGCTATATTGTTAGCACAAAATATTTGTATAATACAATGTAACTGGAACATTTGGTTGTTGAGATATCACCATAGGGCATAGTGACCAAAATAAAGTAGACATGACTCATCAATACTTGAATTCTAAGAATGCTAGTTATCTTTCATAACATATTTTAAATCATTTACTATTTTAAATCAATTCAATTTAAGAATCCTCTAACTTAAAAGATAAATCAGCCTTATTCAAATTCCATTGTACACTTTAACTCTATGTAAACACTTTTTTCCGCCATTTTGACCCTAAACTACAAGCCCTTGTTTGGCTACATCACGAGAGAGAGTTTAGACTAAACTCTAAAGTAACAGTTGACTTTAACAACCTGATTGTTATCCTAGCAAGGAGATGATGTTGGTGATCTTGTACTCATTATGGGATGGGAGAAACCAATGATTACATTCCTTTAGGTGCTTTACATTTTATAGCTATAACCCTACCCTGATGCACCAGCACGAGAATAATTCCTTTCACAAAATCAGTTTAGGTTCTCATAATTAATTGGGTGTGGATAAGAGCAGAATATCATGTATCAACTTATGCATTCAGTGCTTTAAATTCAGTAATTGAAATTTTCCAGTGCTTAATTTTCAGCTTTAGTAAACAACACCTTAGTTGGTTTTGTTTTTGAAAATTGAATGAGCGCATTTTTATATATATGGATTTCTGGGTATATGGTTTTCAGTTTTTGCAGGTAAGCACAATAAATAAATAATTGCTATTTATTGAGTTTGTTGGTGAATTAGAAATTTGTAACTTTGATCAACATAGTTACCAGATTACAGATTAGATTAGATATACTGGATACCATGCTTAGAAGTGTATATATAATAATGTTTCAACTAAAAACAGGAGTTGTGTTTGTTGGTGGTTTGTGCGTGGATATGGATTTGGGGCCCTTGATCCAAATTAAATCAACTGTTCAATGAAACTTTAGGATCCCAGAATTGGATTATTAGAATGTTATTAGTGACATCCTTGATCGATTTGAGTATTCAAATTATAAGGACTTTAATTTTTCGGAAATAGATTATAAGGATTTTAGATAACATTTATATATATGGATTTTAGATAACATCTATAAGGTGTTATTCCAGTTAACTTTAACAATCATTTTCTATCTATAATATAAATGTTGTGGGATCCACACGACTATGAGGCCAGGCCAGCTTCCAAAAAAAATTGGTCAATTTGAAATGACTTCCATATTTAACTACGTATTTGAGTTCTAGATCTGAGAAAAGAGGCCCATATTATAACATTGAAGCACACCACCAAGGTGAGAATGTTAATTTTTCTCACTTAAAAAAAAAGAACCAATTCTAAGACTTATTAGAGATCTAAAAACAATGTCCAAGCCCATTGGTTTAACAAGTTGTGGTAATTTACTTTTTTAATATAGTAATTGTAATTTACTTTTTTAACATAGTAATGGGAATGCTACTCATCCAAATTTCTGGAGATTATGTGATTGAAGCCAAATCACTTTCAATAATACACACAACAAAGGCCACACTAATCAATGCTATATATGAAAGAAATACACATAAATGTGAATTCCATGATGCCGTCTCAATATAGTACAAGGAATAAAACCTGACCCCAGTTGTCTATTCTATAGTCTCTGTCACACAACTTAAAAATAAATAAATTTCTTTTTTTAATATATATATTGGGACAAGTTGATGAGCCTAAAATAACCTATCACTCATTGCATGGGTTCAAGTTCATTTCATTTGATTTTTTGAGTGAAAGGCTTCCAATGCTGATCCCAAATACTGAAAGTGCATAGGGTTAAAGATAAATCTAAGGCGTAGGCTCAGATTTATTGTAAATTGAACCAATAAAGTGCATAGAATAACTTCAAAATCTTGTAGAGTTCTACTGGCATCTAAAAAAAAAAAAAAAAAATGGGCATTGTATGTGATTGATTCTAATATAATTGGAATAAGAATCGGTGTTAGGGTTAGGGCTTACTTGACAAGGAACCTTTAATTATTTCTTTACGCCTTGTTTCGAACCAAATACTTATGGGATTTGAAATTAGAGTTGGGAAAGGAATTGGGAATAAAATGGGATTTGTAAAAAGGAATTTTAAATTCTGTCTAAATTCTTTTAAAATTCCACACATTCCAAATATTTGAAATCATATTTTAAATTCAATTATGATAAAATCCTTCCTATTTTTGTTTGCCTACATTGCCATGCTGCATTACATCAGGATAAACGGACTTGAAATTCAGGTGGGCCAAGTTGAACCTAACTTAATGTTTTTTAATATATAAATGATGTTCAAAAGTTTGCTACTGAATCTGGTCACTCTTAATGTTTTATGTATGTTGTTTAAGTTCCTTGTGTAATATTCTTCAGTTATGTTTTTGCTCTGTTGTGGTTTTGTTCTTTTTTATTTGTTAATCTCAATTTAAAATTAAAATTGCAATTTTAAATAACTGATTCAAAAAGTTTTTTATTTTTATTTTTTATTATAATGGGTTAGAAACTAGTCTATGTTTTGTGCTACTATTTTGCAAGTTAATTTTTATTTTGGGATCAATTTTGTTACAAGCTTAACATATACTATATTTATTTTTTTAGACCATAAAATTTGGTTAATTGATATGACAATTATATTTTTTTGTTTTAAACATATAATTATGCATCACAAAGTATATGGACATTATTTGATCCTTTTTGTGATCCTCACACATGCTTGTTAAAGTTTGTATCAGATCGTGATATTGATGTCTTTGGACTGAGAATTCTAAATGGAATAGAAAATATAAATTTGATGTCCTATATATATGTAAGATCCTTTTTTGACTTTCACTGAAAGAGCTTTAGCTAGCTCTTTTTCTTCCAAAAATGGAAGTGAAGAACGAATCTCCCACTCATTCCTATTCTCTATATACATACATAAAAAAACAATTCATCTTGACTTAGTTTATAGTTAATTTTTTATTGAGCTACTGATGTTTAACATTACATTCATCTTAATTTTAGGATGAAATGAAACAGAAGTTTTCACAAGTTTTTCACAATTCTGATGGTATCAGTCCTGTCATAAATGATGTTGAGATAGTGGAAAACCAATTAGGTATCAGAAAGGGATATCGTCGTGGGTTCGGAAATGGTTTTGTAGCTCCAAGCCATCAACGTGCATCCTCATCTTTTGAAGAGGCTTCTAGAAAAAGGGTAAAAAATGTTGAAGAAGATAATGCACAACTTAGAGAGAAAGTTACAAATTTGGAGGAGAAGTTGGATACATTTCAGCACCTCATTGAGCAGCAATAGCAACTCCTTCAGCAGCAACAACAGCAGCAAAAACAACTCCAACAACTCCTTGAGCAGCAACAACAGAACCAACAACCGCCACCACGATTCCACCAACAGCAGCAAGCCCCACCAAGCTGGTATCAGCAGCCGCCAACATGGTGGCAATTTCATCACCACCACAACAGTCACCTGAATGAACTATAACGATAATTATTTTGGTGGATATATTTTGGAGCTTTTTGATGGCTAGCTAGCTGATTTCTAACTATTTTGGTAGTGTATTTTTTTCCCTGCATTTTCATGATTGCATTCAGTTTAAAATGATATTTTAATTTTTGAGGATATTTGGAACCATTTGATGTTAAAGCAACTAGTAGATACTTTTAGCTCTTCTTTACAAAACTGGAGAATTTGTAGTTTCATCATGAGATTAAGAGCTTGTTTGTTGGCACCGTATTATGGTGGTAATTTATTTCTTTCTTTCTAAAATGATATTGTGGATGAATATACTTTTTAGTTTCCTTGTTTTGATATATAAGGTGGATGTGGTTTAATAGTATTTTTAGAAAACAAATCCGGTAGAGCAAAATAGAAAAATAATAATAATAATAATAATAATGAAGTATTAGGGACAGTTTATTACTGTCACAAATTTAATTTAATAATAATAATAAAAATTTATTAGGGACAGTACAAATTGTGCCTAATAAGTATGTATTAGGGACGGACAAAAAAACCGTCCCTAAAATATCAACTATTAGGGACAGTAAATACTGTCCCTAATAAATCAAAGGGGGACGGTCTTATTAGGGACAGTAAGTCCGTCCCTAAAGGTTGATTTTATTAGGGACGGAAAATTTTTACAGTCCCTAAAAATCATTTGTGACACAACTATTAGGGACGGTCAGATTTGATTATTAGGGACGGTCTTAGGGTTTTTAGGGACAGATTTGGCCGTCACTAAAAACCTAATTTCTTGTAGTGGTTATTCGATTCTTCTTTGTAGACTTCGCGTTGTGTCTCCTAATTCTAATGCTATGTAGCAGTTCTTAAGTGCTATTTGACAAAATTCTAAGACTTGAACAAGTTGTTCTTTGGGTAGATTGTGTATAAAGTAAACTTTTAGGGGTGCAAATATAATTTCTAATGCTAAAGGATTCAAATAAAATATTTTGACTTTTAATTCATATTAGGGTAAATAAGCAAACTACGCTTATGTTTGAGTAATATACCTTTGCTGCTAACACTTATATGTAAATTTTCCTATATATTATAACAACAAAACCATTGTTGCGGCCCTCCTGTTAGGTGAATGAGACCCAATAACCGTGTAGAATCTTTAGGCTTTTGTGGATGATCTTATTAATGCCATTTACTTAGTCAAAATACCTATAATTAATATCCCATATTTTGGTCTGTTCACACTTGATGTTTGTTATTTTGTTGTTATTTGGCTTTCTAGTTTTCTGGCCAACAATATTATTTGGCGATGTACCGAGTAGATTTTTAAAAAACAGAATCAGTTGACTCAGATAGAGATATCTCCACAACATGTGATGCATAAGGCCTCTAGCTCTGTGGGGCTTGAAACGTCCAGATCAAGTCAACGACCAAGACCAGTTCTTTGTCCTTGGGCTTGATAATCACTACCATATATATTTCAATTTTTCATTTTTCATATTTTGTATTATTTATTATACTTCTATTTATGAAAAATTGGTTTGACAGTAATGCTCCATTATGGGATAAAGTCATTCTTGTTACAGGATAATAATACTTGTGCTTCAATATTGCATAACATGAAGTATAATTTATTGGCCTATGAATAAATAATAAAGTATAATTTATTTTGAGTAAACTTGTAGTTAATCTCGAATTACAAGGAATTATAATGTCAAGAATGAAATTTAAGACTATATAGATAGATATGTAAGTTATGAGTTTAAAAATTATGAGATTGAGAGAGGTGTAGTTGGAGAGTTGATGAGTGTAAAAATTCTCAAACTCTACTTTATCCTTCATATTTTTGTAAAGATGTAGTTTATGGATTTTTAAAATAGAAAGAAAATAAGTGATTATAGTGAAATTTTATCTTATTCGTGTGTGTATATCCTTTTTGTGCAAAACCACGTTAAAATGTGCTTATGTGCGGAGTCTAATATTGAATGGAGTAGAAACTCATTTAATAGTTGTTAGAGGGGATTTTTTTTTTCCTTTTCCAATAATTGGGTTTTGGGGGCTTTCTCTCGACTAATTCATGAGATCCGTGCAAAGCAACTCTTTATACGAATCGAGTAAAGTTCGGACTATGTCCGCGATCGTAACCATTAAGGAATTGATTGTGTTTGAGAGGATTTAAACTTGAGACTTAAAAGCTCCGTTTGTTTGAGCGTAAAATATCGTAAAATATTTTCCTTGTAAAATGTTTTTTATGTAACACTTTTTCATGTAGAATGTTTTCTTTATTTTTTAGTGTTTGGCAAAACTTTTGAAATATTTTTGGTGTCTGGCTTTAAAAACATTTTTGAATTCAAATTAGAATTCTTATTTGAGTCACTGATTATTCAATTTTACTCATACTATCAATTGGTCCAATAATTTTTATACCAACAATAATAATAATTTGACAAGAAATATAAAAAAATAATCAATTAATTTTTGAAAAAATGATAAGGAAACTAAAATAACTCTATTTATCATTAAATGCAACAAGTGAGTTTTTTTTTTTTTTTTTTTTTTTTTTTTTTTTTTTTTTTTCACTTTACATATCACTTTTTAAGGTTTTAGAAAGTACTATTACATGTTAATCCAATAATATTAATAAAAATATATAATAATATGATCAATGCTTAAATGTTGCACATTTTAGCAACTAAGATAGAGTAGTTTAATCCATTCATCTATTTTACTTTCCCGTTTTAGTTCTAATTCGTGTTTTTTGTCGATTCACGTCAATAAAGTTCAAATGGGCTAAAAATAGTCTATTAAAGTTTTTTTAGAGTTAAGCAGAAAATCTGAAAAAACTTCAGAAAATTGCTTTATAGCATTCACGATTGATCGCAAATCTTTCACGATCGATTGCAAGCCACATCATCATTCGCAGCTATATCAGCAGCGGATAAGGTCGCCACGTTATCATTCGATCAATTCACGATCGATCGCAGACAACTACAATCATTTGCAATACCACGTCAGCGCCAGCTCAGCGGATAAGACAGCTAGTTGTCAAGATGAGATTGCCACGTTAGCTATGATCGATCGCAGATAATCATGACCGATTGCAGAATCCCACGATCGATCGTGACTGGCCTGGTAGTGAGCTGTTTTATTCCCAGCTTCGCCCGAACTTTACCTACTAAGTGGTTGCGGGATTGAATCATTTGGGGGTGTGTTTCTGACCCATTTTGGCTTCCAAAGGTCCTGTATAAAAGGGAAAATGAACCAATTTGTTAGGGGTTAGCTAATGTTACATAGAGATCAACTTTAGATATTATAATTCTCTCTCTAGATTTAGGGTTTTAGGGAAGAAAGTGGCAAGAATATCAAGATCTCTAGGGTTTCTACCAAGAAGACCAAGAGGAAGAATGTGAAGCTATGTTTGGAGATTACCTTTGAAGGTTCCAAAATCACATCCACCTCCTCCATAAGTGGCTAGACACCATCTTAGGGCTTGGATGAGCCCTAAGCTTGTTCTCTAAACCCTAGTCTTTAACTTTTTGGGGAATTAATGTTGTAAATGATACTTTAACCTTGTGTATGTAATGAATCTTGGATTTTCCTATGATTTCTATGGTTAAATTTTTCCTTATAATTCTCTAGATTGGTTGCATGTCTATGTGTGATTGATTGAGAATTTAGTAATGGCTATGCATGAATTCCACTAGATGCATTTGTTGATTAATTTGATGGATTATGCTTATGCTTGATGGATTGCTCTACATCTTTAGTTTAATTGCCTTAAATTCATTATTTTAACCTAATTGTAGTTTAATTGCAGTTCAATTGTAGTTAGGTAGGCAATCCATACTTGAATTTGATCATCCATGGCTTATTGTTGCAAATTGCATTATTCTCTAGATTGATATGTACTACAATTATTGATTAATTTATTGGTTTATGCTTAACTTGATGAATCGCACTACACACTTTGACCATGCTTGTAGTTAGGTAGATAATTCATGCTTGAATTTGATGGCCATGCTCATTATTACAACTAGTAGTCACATTTGATTTACAACATGATTTTTCCCCAATTAGTTGAAGGCATGTGGTTTAGTGAATGAGCTTAGTGGTGATTCATATGCCCTAATATTCCTCTCCTTTTTCTTTCACCCTAATCATTTTAGTTTAATTACTTTACATGTTTTTAAGTTCAAATTGTAATTTAAACAAACTAAACCAACTCTCTTTACAATCTCATTAGCCTTAAAGTTCGATTTGATTCCAACACGTGTTCAATTTCTTGGGACGATCCCAACTCGCTATGTTTCATTAGTATTAGTGTGTAGTGGTTTTATAAATGTAAATTTGACTTTCTAAACTTCCGAATCCACAATCATATGTTGACCTTGTGAAACGACCTCTTACTTGAGACTTGTCATAATAAAAGTAAATTGAAGAAACCAAAAATAAGAAATTGTATGATTGTTGTTAAATCAGAAATTGGCCTCGTGTCTCTCACACCACAATATGTATTGGGCTTATTGTCTTTTCTCATAACAATTGTTTTGTTTCTAGTTATTATATAGCACATGTAAAAGGGCTCCTCTCTTTCTCTCTCTAAAAACTGTCTTTATTAAAGTGCTCATTTCTTTCTCTCTCTAGACGCCCTCTTTCTCTTTCTAAACTCTCTCTAGACTGCTTTTTTGGCCATTATGTAACTCTTCTATGTACTTAATTGACGTTTTCGATACCATATGCTTTTGTTGAGGAGATCGAGAGTGAAATTGATAGGCTCGAAAAATGACTTTCGGATGATTAATTGGTAAGTTATTTTAGTTAAGTTTTGGAAAATTATTTTCTTCGGTAAAATTTTTTTTTTCAATTTAGGACTACCAAACACTGAAAAACACATAAATTATTTTAAAAAACATATTTTACGCTAAAAAAAAAAACAAGTCTTAATACTTCATGAGGCACTAAATTAAATAGTTATCTTCTTTATTATTGTTCGTATAGGTAGAAAAATGGTCTGGGAAACATGTTTTTTTTAGTGAACTTTTACAAAATGCCACCTCATTTAAAAATAATATTATTCCATCCCCTGTCTCTCTCTATATATACACATATACTTCATACTTCATGAGCCACTAAATTAAATAGTTACCTTCTTTATTATTGTTCGTATAGGTAGAAAAATGGTTTGGGAAACATGTTTTTTTAGTGAACTTTTACAGCATGCCACCTCATTTAAAAATAATATTATTCCATCCCCCGTATCTCTCTATATATACACATATACTTATATGCACTCACAAACATTGATATATATATATATATATATATATATATATATACACACACACTTATATGCACTCACAAACATTGATATATATATATATATATATATATATATATATATATATTCCTGGCAAAAACCACACCACCGCAACAAAGAGCTAACTAGAAATCTCCGACACATCCCGGGCTGGAATATCAAGTGGCACGGACGGAAGGATGCAATTGAAATCCATTGGACCCCGAGATAAAGATGCAAACGATTTATACACACATTATTTCTATGAATATATTTGTACACTTCTTCCTGGAGTCTAAAAAACTAAATATTTTAGCTAATCATCACCTTTTTTTTCTTTTCTTTTCTTTATGTGATTTAGGAATTTTATTTAACTCTTCTCAATTTTTATACATTTGTGAATTTTGTGTGTTGTATTGTATCTTTGCGGATCATTATTTATTTGTTTGTTATGCAAAGTATAAAACTCTCATGAGTGAGTTGTTGAGTATTATTGACATGATACTGGACCAATGGTCCAGATAGTTTCGGATGGCACGTGCCCTGTAGACCTATAATGACCTTACTATTCTAAAAATTACTAAAAAAAAATATAAGAATAAGAACATAATTTCCAAAGTAACGGAAAAACGGAACCTTAATATAATGTATGTCACGAATCAAATTGTAAGTATTGATTGTCGTCGTTCATCATCAGGAATTTTTTTCTATGCATCGATTCTACATTATAATTTGAATTTCTATGCACGTTAAAAAAATATATATTTTATATTATTCAATATGCCCTTTAAACAAATTTCGGACTTTGTCCCTGTATTTTTCTTTCAATTTTTCGTCTTTTATTTGGAAACAAAGTATGGAGTAGAGGCTTTTAATTAAAATTTAAACCACTAATAAAGTTGTCTGATTTAATCTAAGATTAAAAAAAGAGTTAAGTAGAGATTGCAACCAATATTTAGATATAGAGTGAAGACTGAAAATGGACAACCATGAGAGAGAGCAGAACGATGTATAAAATTATTCAAATAGACATCACGGATATTAAAATGAAAAGTGATGACACTAATATTATAAGTTGGGATAATATATAAGGGTGGGATAGTATAGAAATATTTAAACATTTTAAACGGCATATATGTACTTTAAAAATATTTATTGGATTCGGAGAGGTTGAATAATAAATCTGACCCGTCCCCATACAAATTGTAATTTTAAATACCATAACCGTCCCAACTCAATTTAAGCATTTACTAAATTCATATCATATAGAGCGAACTGAATGAAATTATCATCTCTAAGGACTAAACTCAACAAAGGTGGTAAGTATTCTTTGAATTTCATTATTAAATCTCTTCTATTGGTTGGAATGTTAATAATATAAATAAATAAAAATTTTAGGAAAGAAACAATGTAAAGAAATAAATTATTTTGGAGGAAACAAATCCTTTTGTGCCCTTTTCTAATTGGGTGACTGTTGTTAGTACTCGTTTGGATTCGAAAAAACGAGTGATGATTGAAGAACCAAACCACAATTCTCGAATGAGCACAGAAACTGACCTGGCGAAGCCACGTCAGATTTTCTTTATTTACGTTCCAGTTTTTAACCCCTACCACTCTCTAGTTTTTGTCCTTTATCTTCATTCCTTCAATGTTTCTCTCTCTCTCTCTCTAAGATTTTATGAAATTTCTTTTCAAAATTTTCTCTCTTCTCTGGATTCATTGCCACCATCTTCAATTCATAAATTCTAATCACCCCTGAAAACCTTTTAACTACCTAAGTCTTCTCTCTTTGGAAAATAGTTTGAGAGAGAGAAGACTTAAGTCTAAAAAGAAGCCACTGTTACCCATTTTAATGAAGTTTACAGATTAGGGTTTATGTGCAGAATCTTAGAGGGGTAAATTTTTAGAGAGAAAAAATGATTGCACAGAAGGAAAATTCAGACCCAAATCGTAAAGAGAGAAGGTGAAAAAAAATTTCACAAAGAGAGAGAGGAGGGATAAAATTTTAGATAAAGAAAAAGTTATGAGAATTTGAAAGAGAGATGGAAAAGAGATGATTCAGATTCAAATCTTAGAAAGAGTGAATAGAATGTCAATAAGAGAGAAAGATGGGTGAAGAATTTCAGAGAGAGAGAGAGAGCGAGAGAGAGATGAGTAAATCGTTGTCTTGGTAGAGAAAAAGTGAAAGGTATAATTGGAACATCAAGGATATACTCGTCATTTGCAGCATTATTATTTTTCACGGAGTAGATGTTGGGTACCCATTCGGATACTTCTTTAGTGTTTCTATCTTTTATTCTTAAATGAGTAAGTCGTTGGCTTCTCGCGTTTGTTGTTGACTCAACATCGTCTTATTTTTTTTTTTCGCAGTCTTTGTGGGACGTTGAGACACACCAAGCCTGTTTGACTTGTCTTGAAGTAGTATGATTTGGTCTTGTGTTGACATCTTCAGAAGCAAGAGCCCTGGTCTCAACTTGGCAATCGATTTTATGGGTTTCTTCTCCTCTTTCGAAATTCTAGGTCGTAGCTGTAGTGTGTTACATGGCTTTTCTTTCATTTGAATTGGGTTTCTTTTGTATAAATTTTTAATATTGAAACCATATATATATATATATATATATATATGTATGGTGATAGAGACTTGCTTACCAGCAACCAAAGGGTCCTGAAACCTTCCCTGCTTTGCTTTCCTGCCATTTGGATTTCTGGGTATGGTTTCTTACTTTGAATTTCCATTTTCTGGGTTTAGTTTGAGTACCAAACAGTAACTAACCACTTTCCCTTTCTTTTTTTACTTTGATATATAATTATTGTGATAGAAGGGAAATTCTCAAGCCCAAAACATAATTTGAATTGCTTCTGCTTCTTTCTTGTTCTTTTTTATTTTATTTTTTTATCTGTGATTGTGATATTGATGAGGTCGATTATAATGGGTTTTACCATTTTCTTGTCCAAATTATATGTTTTTGGGGCTTTTGGTTGGCTCAGCACCATTTTTTTGGATTATCTAGGCATGTTAATTTATTTTGTAATTTTAAGTATTGATATCGAATTATGTGATTTGTGGCTGGAAAAACTAAAAGAAATATCAGAAGTACGAAAGTGAAATAATTAAATAAATAAAAATGCTAAAATTTATAATTCTCCTGTCAATACTCCTCACAATCCCAAGTTCTGCTCAAAAGACAGTGATCACTTTTTTTTATTATTATTTTTTTATGTTGTTAAACATGTAAATTTTATTTTTTTGGGTAAGAAACATATCAATTTATATTTCAGATGCATCAGGAAAAAATAAATATATATATATATATATATATATATTTCAAATGTTTAGTGACTTCATGTGATTGACTTTTTCTTTGTTTGTTCTGGTTTAGAATTTTTACTATGATTTTTTGAGTGCTGTATTCTGTGAGGAACTCTGACCTCGAATAATTTGATTTTCAGTCCAAATGTGCAGATCTGCGATCCTTTGCTAGAATATGCAGAATGAAGTTGCTAACCATTGTTATACAGTGAAGGTAAGTGTTAATTTTTGTATATAATTTGTACCATATAATTTAAATTACCTTGAAAATCGTACTAGCAATTTTAATAGTACCTCGTTAGCAGATAAGTGCGTTAGGCACAAAGTTAATCACCTCACGTCTGGATGTGTATAAGGATTTTATATATATATGACGAAAAATGGTTACTATCATTATCATTTATCATCATATATGATGGCTGCAGGTGCATCGTCTAATTTGCCTAGAGCTTAAGAAATCCATTGATAGAATCTCACAGATTTTTTCAGCCATTGAATCTGCTCGACCAGGATGTGCATCAGGGATACCGACCCTCTGCTCATTACACCTTGCCATGGAGAGAGCCATGTCACTTATCCGGCACTGCTCCGACTGCAGTAAACTCTACTTGGTATATAGGTTTCCTATTATGCATATATAAATTAAAATAAATTGATGTGCTTACCATTTTATTATTATTAAAAAAAAAAAAAAAAAACTGTACCATTATTGTCAACATAAGTCTGCGGGCTTGAATTTCTAATAAGTGGTAGAAAGAATGGCATAATATTTAGGCAATCTGGTCTTTTGGATTAATTTACAGCTGTCCAGTGAATTATAAGAATTCAATTATTATTTTCAATCATTATGCTCAGATTTGTTTCTTCTTTCTTATTAAGAAAAAATAAAATAAAATGGAACGTAGTTAGAATTTGCGAGATATTTTAGACTTTTGTTCCAAGTTTTTGTGCTTAATTCACACAGCTTGATTGCTTAATATCTTTTAAAAGTAACTTACCTCTTGATTTATGGGTTTTTGGATTCAGATCATTTATTATGCTGCCATATAGGTCATATCCATCACATTGTATGCACTATCAATCTTTTTCTTCAGCCACAGGTATCATATTAAAGCTAAAGACCCTATATAAGCTTTCTTCTCCAGCTGAGGTTCTTTATCCTTTTTCTTCATTCTTTTCATAATAGTGATAAATATCTAATTTCGCATTCGTGCCAAACACTGAATCCTTTTCCTCTAATCAATTTTCTTAATTCCTAGTAGGAACTGTGTTACTTAAAATGGTTGCCTCTAGCAACTAATATGCACTTTAATACGTTTATGGAATCTATATTAACCACTTCAAGCTTGTTTATTTTCGGAATTGTTTAGTATCTAAAAGCTAGTGCATCACATACTCCTTTTTTATTTATATAGATCTTACTAGGCTCCGTTTGTTTAGATATAAAATATTTTTCAGAAAATATTTTGGTTGTCCTAAGATATTTACAAAGTAAAAAAATATTCAAATTTAACAAAAATAAATTATTTATCAATTTTTGGCAAGTTATTTTATGTGCTCCGCTCGATGGACTCGACTTCAAAGAATATTTTACACCGAAAAAATAAAATAAAAGAATATTTTACCTAAAAAAAGAAAATATTTTCAAAAAAAAAATAAAAAAATTACGTAGAAACAAACGAAGTCTAGATACAATGTTTTGTCTAATTGCGTTTTCCAATGCATTATTTCAGGCAATTACTGGGGATAGGATTGTGTTGAGATGTGAAAAAGTACGAAAGGATTTGGAGCTGTGTCTAACTCAAATTCACAATATGGTCCCATTATTGTTGGCTACCCAGGTTTTTCCTACTCCATACCTTTCCTTGTATTATATGTTTTTATTATATAATTTTTGTAATTGTAAGCCAATGTCTATGCATTCCAAGGCAACATATTGTTTTTCAATAAGATATCTTTTGTGGGTAATGCGGTGCAGAAACTGTTAGATGATTTGATTGTAATTAAATTCCTAAATGACCTAGATGAGATTATTAGGTCAACTTGCCCAATTTTTATGATCGATTAATTTACCTAAGCATATGATCAATTAAATATCCACAATCACAAAGATAAATACTAAAAAGTAAAACAAGTAAAGTTAGAGAGATAACACTAGGATTTTAGCGAGGAAACCAATTGGAAAACATCGAGGATTTTTGCGATCTCCTGAGCGTTAACGATCCACTATGTATGAAGCAAAATACACTAAACTTTGACTCAGACTCACACCCCTTCTCTCTACCAAGACCCAATTTACTAAATGTCTCTGACTTTACGACTTCCCGTTCAACAACTCATGACTTCACATTTATGCCTCGAACCCTGTAGAAGGATTGTTGGTAGATTAACAACACTCCACAAGTGCTTTGATCCCTTTGAAGTGTGATTTAAAAATTTTCTTATTTAAATTTGAATTTGATGTAGAAGAAATAAATCTGTTTTTCGGAATTTTTGAATCTTCAATTATTCTTTAATTCTGATGAGATAGAGAGCGACACTACTAAATCACTTTTGTATATCTTGTGTGCTCTCAAAACAAAAAAATCAGATTTGATTTTCAGAAAAATATCTCTCAAAAGGCTCTCACAAAATAATGAATTTTTGTTTCCAAAAGCCATATCTCAGTGTTGAATGAAATAGAGATTATATAGAAGTTTGGAAGACCTAAAGATACTTGGAAACCAAGTCAAATTCGTGCATAGGTTTTTGGAAGGAAGCCTATACTAAATAGGAATCAAAACAGACCAGGAAGGTAAGCTACCAAAATAGATCTGAAGAACTTGAACTGGTTCAGGGTGGTTGAATCAGTTAGATCTGAAGAACTTGAACTGGTTCAGGGTTGGCCAGTAAGTTTTTGTGACAAATCAACTTTGACATTTGAACCGGTTCAGTGTGGTTAAACGAATTCAAGTTGGCCAGACTTGAAAATCACCAACAACTTCAAAAGTTGAACCTATTCCAAGATTCTTGAACTAGTTCAAGTTGGACAGAATGTAAAATCTTCTTAAAAACTTGTGTTTCAAACTTCCAAAACTTCCTAAGTGTTCTCACACACACATACCTTTCTAAAGCATTGTTCTCATCATCCCAGAGTGTTTTAAAGCATGAACACTTGAACTTCTTTAAATCGGCTTCCGATCTTCAATCTAGAAATTTTGAACCAAAATTTTATAACTCGATCGGACTTGTTTTGACAACGAAATTAGCCAATTTACAAAATATATCTCACAATCTCCCCTTTTTGGCAATTTCGTGACAAAACTCTAAAAACAACATGTAATCTACCAAAGCAGAAAAAACAAATTACAATGATTGTCAAAAATAAATAAAAGCGGAACTTTTCTTGAACCACATGAAGCTTTAACACTTGTAGCATCTCTAACCTTATCTTCACATTAGCTGAACAAAGCTACCCGTGAAGCTTAATAAAGAAAGATAAACACAAGTATAAAATAGCAATAAAAGTGATTTGGTAAAATTAGCGTACTCAATTTCAGAGACTAACTATCATTATATACAAGTCAAAAATTACAAATATGAAAAGAGAATAAAAATCAAATCCTTAAACAAAATCTTAAACATAAGCCTATAATGAAGACCCAATAAATCTGCCACAATCATCGAGTCAATCTATAGATATGATTTCCAACACTCCCCCTCAAGCTGGAGCAAATATGTTAACCAAGCCCAGCTTGACTATGGAAGACTGAAGAAGAGAAGGCCCAACAGACTTTGTGAACACATCTGCAGTCTGTTTTGAAGAGGGAACAAAAGTAGGATTAATGATACCCAATCGAACCTTCTCTCAAAAGAAGTGAATGTCTACTTTAATATGTTTTGACCTTTCATGTAACACAGAATCAGAAGCAAGCATAATGGCTGATTTATTGTCACAAAACAACCTTGAAGACCTTTCTCTACAAGACCCAACTCTCCCAAAATTGATTGAAGCCAAAGGAGCTCACAAGTACCTTGAACCATAGTTCGGTACTCAGTTTCAGCAGAAAATCTGGAGATAACTACTTGCTTCTTACTCTTCCATGATATGAGATGATTACCATAGAAAGTACAGAAGCTAGAGGTAGATCGTTTATCTGTTTTACGTCCAGCATGGTCTGCATTAGTAAAGCATGAGAGTTCAGATTGATTTCCTGAGGCATAGAACAGACCAAGGCCAGGGCATGACTTTAGATACCTCAAAATATGGTAGATTGCATCTATATGAGCTGAGCGAGGGGCATGCATGAATTGAGTAACACACTAACAACAAAGGTCAAATCGGGCCTTGTGTTAGTCAAGTAGATAAAACGACGTTGATACACAGATAGATCTAGAAGTAATTCACCTGACTCAATAGAAAGTTTGAGATTAGGGTCCATAGGAGTGAAAGCGGGTCAACACCCAAGCATGCCAGTATCTTGAAGAAGATCCAAAAAAATATTTCCTTTGAGATAAGGAAATTCCACGACGGGATCTAGCAACCTCAATTCCAAGAAAATATCGAAGGGGACCTAAGTCCTTCACATCAAAGGACTTTTGAAGATGAAGTTTCGCCTCAGCAATCCCTTAAGCATTATTATCTGTGATAATGATATCATCCACATATACTAATAACATGATGCAGCGACCATCATAGCGACGTCGAATAAAGCAAGTATGGTCTGAGTGGCAGCACACATAGCCCATGGATAGAACAACATCACTGAAATGACTGAACCATGCTCTAGGAGATTTCTTCAGATCATGAAGAGACTTCGGCAGCCGACATACCTTCTCAGCATACTCCCCTTCAGCTCGAAATCTAGGGGGTGGATCCATATATATAGTCACAAGTAAGTCTCCGTTAAGAAATGCATTCTTGACATCTAATTGATGTAGAGGCCAAGCAATAGGCAGCAGCTAAGGAGATAAGCAATCGCACAAACGTCAACTTTGCCACAGGAGCAAAGGTAGCACCAAAGTCTTTGCCCGAAATCTGAGTGAAGCCTTTCGCCACCAACCGAGCCTTATATTGATCAATAGAGCCTTATCGCTCCTAATTCGAGTTATTCGATACCCTTTCTCATTTTGAATCAATTGACAAATAGACCTGAAATTCACAAAAGCATCAGACTTCTATCGCAAAAAGGTAATCAATGTAAATCGAGAATAATCATCATCCATAACAAGCAAATATTTTTTTCCTCCAATGCTATTAGGTGTTATGCAACCCATCAAATCCATATGTATTAATTCTAAAGGTCGAATAGTGACTCTATGAAGAAGTCACTTATGTGACACTTTAGTTTGTTTTCCTTATTGACATGGACTACATATTTCATTCATAGGCATTTTCAACTTAGGCAAACCTCGAACAAGATCATTATTAGACAAATTCACCAAATCATTAAAATTTATATGACCAAGTCTTTTATGCCATAAAATTGCCTCATCAGTAACTGCAGAAAAACATATAAGTGAAGAATCTAAATAAACAACATAGCAATTATGTCACGCCCCCAGACCGTAATCCAGGTTGTGAACATAAAACATGATAAAGAAATGCTCGTACTCAGAATTGTCTGATCGAGCTATAGAACAATGTCCAAATATTTTAAATAAAACTTTCATGTCCATGGCTAATAATAAGAGAACCCCTTGGTTCAAAATCATTTTAAATAAAGTACCATGTCCCAACATGCATACACAAAGTCCATTTCCCCATGGCCATACAGTATATGAAAGTGTGAAAGAATTAACACAAGTTTCCTATTTTAAAATCCCATAATCCTTTAATCACGTTGCACAAACATACTTTGTTTGTAAAATATTTCATAATATACATCTTTGACTTAAAATATACAAAAGATGTGCTACAAAATAAAACCCAACATCCGTCTATGGCAATGGAGGAACATCCTCGACGACCTCCTGTCCGTAACCTGAAAAAAATGTATATATAATAGGAATGAGCAACCATAGCTCAGTAAGAGTTGCCTAAACCGCACTCCTTAATACCTCCGTGAATCCAAACAAAGAATAGGAATCAGAAAGGGAGTCGTACTAATCAGGGGAAATAATCATCACATAATCATGCTGTCTCATAAAACAGTCAACGCAGAATAATATAAAATGTCATATAAACAGAGTCACAACCATTCCCTTTTTATACAAAGTATCACCTCTCTAATTATTATAACTGTCAGGCCAGAGGTATGCCCCTGTACCACGAAAAGACCATCCATTTACCCTCCCCTACAACATCCTTTCCAACTATTACCTGACCTGGGCAAGTAAACAAATATATGAAAGAGAATAGGAAACATGATACTCCAGATAATAAACACATATATAATAAAAATGAAGTGTCATGAAATGTAACGACATTGCCAATGACACTTTCCTTTCCACACAACTCCATTCAAACCCCAATGGTCAAAATGTTAATGCAACCCGATACAAGGCAACTCCTTGCCGTCACGAGAAGAGGATAGGTCATTTGTCCCTGACACAAGGCAACTCCTTGCCGTTATTTGGGGCCCAGTGACTCAACCACGCGTAGGGTGTTTCCCTACGTCTTCTCTAGGTCTTATTAACTGCACGGACACAAGGCATCTCCTTGCCGTCCGCCTACATGGACACAAGGCATCTCCTTGCCGTCCGGTTCATTGATATACTCAAAGTTATTTCTTTACTTTTCAATCTTTACCCTTTTCTTATCTCAATATCATGCAATGCAAACCCATGCTAAATGAATTTCATTATAGCATACCATGTCAACCGTGTCGTGACAATTCTCAAAACAACACTGGGATAAGATGCCATGTATAATGAATACAATACAATTTCGTCATATGCTACCTTAGTATTTGCAAATCACCTACACACAACATTAACTTCACAAAACCCTTACCATCCCAGGTTCTAGGATTATAAAATCCATTCCCACATCCTCACAATACCATGCATAATGAATGCATGCAACCCACCACGAGATGCTATGACATTGCTATGGCAATTATGTACTCACATAAGACACTCAACTAGAAGGATAATTCTATAACTAGTCAATATGATGACATTCTCCTTCATTCCCATTAAAACACATTTAACCCTACTAGTTGATCACACTTATCTAATACCTCATGAATTATCATGAATAAGCTCAACAATTAATTGTTTTTCAAGTATCCTCAATGTCTCTTAAGAAATTACCATCACAGTTCTCAAATTCCACTTTCTGTAGAAAAGGCTCTAGCCTTGGGACTTGGGCTCGAGCACTGAACACACGAAGCTCGAGCCCCGGAAGTCTGGCTCGAGCTCCGAAAGTCTGGCTCGAGCTCTGGAAGCGAAGTTCCAGACTTCCTAATAACACGGCTCGAGCCCCGGCGTTCGGGCTCGAGCTCTGGGAGTATAGTTGCTAATTTTAGCAGGAGTAGTATGCACTAGAGAGATCATAACTCTCTCCACAAGTGGAATCTATGGCTAAAATTGGTACCGTTGGAAAGCTTACTTCAAGCCGGTTAGTTTAGACTCAAGAATCACCCAATTTGGGTTTAAAAGGAGGAAGTTATGCTCATTTGAAGTTCAGGTCGCAGTGCAGAATTTATGCAGAAACAGGGCTCGAGCTCTGGGCGCACAGTTCCAATTTAAACACTGTTTTTCAGCATAAATCAATAGGAATGATTCACCAAATGTAAAGGATGTACAGGTTAGACAATCCTACCTCAAGGGAGTTCAAACCCTTGGTACAAACACCTCAAAGCCACCAAAAAGGATGAATCAAATCACCAAAAGGATGAAAAAAATAAAGAACAACCCACTTCCTTGCCACAACCAACACCCTTTCTTTCCAAGCCAATTCTGAAGCCCAGTGATGAAAGAATGGATACAAATAATATATCAATGGAAAGCTCACTCTCTCTAGATCATTTTTCATTCACACACCATCCCCAAACTCTCACCACAAGCCTCTCAATTTTGGGCTTGAAGATGAGACCACCATGAAGGAACTAAAAGGAAGCAAGGAGAAGAAAAGAGGATTAACATGAAGAACCCTCTGCTGAAGTCCTCTACGTGTGGAGTCACTCAAGGCATGTCTTTCGTCTGCCATGTGGTTGCCAAATGTCAAGCTTACAAGGGTAAAGGGTGTGACCTTGCCAAATGACTAAGATGCCCTTACCTCTTCACTTAACCACTACCATGCCATTGTAACCTCAATGACCATTCTATCCGCACCAATAGGATAAATGACATGTAAAATAATTAAATACACTTGAGACAACAACACGGAACCCTAAAATCCTGGTGTGGGATCCACACGGGTCATTTGGCCCGAAAATCCAAAAATTATCCAAATGGCTCAACTAGCATCTCAATACTTCCCGAAATCAACGAAACATCTCAAATCACTATAAACCTTTGTGACACGCAATCCCATGCATGGCACACAACTCGAAAGAGTAAAAATGCTCAGAAAATCGGAAAAGTGAGGGACATCACAAATTATCAGAAGTTCTAGTTCTTTTCAGAATGCATTCACCTTTTTTATTAGTTACAAAACACCTTTGTTAAGTAAAATTGATTTGAAACTCCTCATCACAGATTTGACTAATACTCAACAAATTAGCAGCTAAACCTTTAACATATAGAACATTTTTTAACTCCCCAATTCTTGGAAATTTGATCTTACCTTTACCACTTACACTAGAAGCATTACCATCACCAAAAGTTTCCAACTGAGTATTCTTAAAAGTGGTAAACAATATTATATGCCTGAAGCAGTCACTATCAAAGTACCAACCACATGGACCTAGTGCTCTAAGTGCAGTGTGCATGGCAAGACATTTAAGACTATCTTTCTTTACCCAAACAATTTTACATTCATTATGCAATGATTTCCCTACTGTCCTCGGCAAAGTATCACAACACTTAGATGGCCTAATGATTCTCTTCTTCTTATTTGAACTTTTTAGATTTTTCAAATTCTTCCCAAATTCAATTTTTCTCTCTTGACACGACCTTTTTCTCCACAAAAATGACACGTTGAAATAAGTTTACAAGAACTAGTGATCACAGAAGGTTTGGTTTCAACTTTCACAAAAACTTCTTTAGATTTTTGAAAATACAAATCCTTTGAAGTTGAAGCCAAATTTTTGTTACTACTAATGTTCTTAACCACTCCTTTCAACTTATCAAATTTGCAAGTGTCAATGTCAAATTTCTGAAGAGACGATTCTGATTTAACAAACTCACTACTCAAATTATCAATTTTAAGTTCAAGTGATTTATTAAACCTATTTACCCGTTCAAGTTCCTATTCTAGAAAATCAACCTTATGAAGAAGATTCAAATTTTTATGTCCAACTTCTTCCAAATTTTTATTAGAGACATAAACTTCTAACTTATAAATATATCAAGTTCCGCAAGTTTCAACTTCTCTAACAAATTTTCAAAATCCTTTTTAAACTTAGACCACTCAATATGCATGCTTGTGACAGAATAAAAAACAAGAGGTAAAGCCAACATATCAATAGAAGATGAATTATCAGTTTTGATGCAAAAATCACAGCAAATCAACAAATATGATTTACTCAGTATGTTGAGTAACCCGCTCTAATACCAAATGTGAGTTACGCGATGCGGAAGCTGTTAGATGATTTGATTGTGATTAAATCCCTAAATGACCTAGATGAGATTATTAGGTCAACTTGCCTAATTTTTGTGATTGATTAATTTACTTAAGCAATATAATCAATTAAACATCCACAATCACAACAATAAATACTAAAAAGTAAAGAAAGTAAAGTTAGAGAGATGACACCAGGATTTTGGCGAGGAAACCAGTTGGAAAACCTCGAGGATTTTTGCGCTGTCCCGAGCGCAAACGATCTACTATGTATGAAGCAAAGTACACTAAACTTTGACTTAGGCTCACACCCCTTCTCTCTACCAAGACCCAATCTGCTGAATGTCTCTGACTTTGCGACTTCCCGTCCAACAACACTCCACAAGTGCCTTGATCCCTTCAAAGTGTGATATGAAAATTCTTTTTATTTGAATTTGAATTTGATGTAATAGAAATAGATTCGCTTTTTGGAAATTTTGAATCTTCAATTATGCTTCAATTCCGATGAGATAGAGAACAACACTACTAAATCACTCTTGTATATATGTGTGTGCTCTTAAAACAGAAAAATTAGATTTGATTTTTTGAAAAATATCTCTCAAAAGGCTCTCACAAAATAATGAATTTTTGTTCCCAAAAGCCATATCTCAATGTTGAATGGAAGAGAGATTATATAGAAGTTTGGAATACCTAAAGATACTCGGAAACCAAGTTAAATTCGTACATAGGTTTTTGGAAGGAAGTCTATACCAAATAAGAATCAAAACAAACCAGGAAGGTAAGTTACCAAAACAAATCTGAAGAACTTGAACCAGTTTAGGGTGGTTGAACCAGTTCAAGTTGGCCAGTAAGTTTTTGTGTCAAATGAACCGGTTCAAGTTGGCCAAACTTGAAAATCACCAAAAGCTTCAAAAGTTGAACCTATTTTAAGATTCTTGAATTAGTTCAAGTTGAACATAATGTAAAATCTTCCTAAAAACTTATGTTTCAAACTTCTAAAACTTCCTAAGCGTTCTCACACACTCACATACCTTTCTAAAACATTGTTCTCATCATCCCAGAGTATATTAAAGCATGAACACTTGAACTTCTTCAAATTCGCTTCCGATCTTCAATCTTGAAATTTTGAACCGAAATTTTACAACTCGATCGAACTTGTTTTGACAACGAAATTAGCCAATTTACAAAATATATCTCACATCTTTATCTTACACCTTCAGGACCTGCTAATTGATCATGTCTTTTTTTTTTTTTTTTTTCGCTGACCAATCCTTATTGTCCTCTCTCTGAGCTATTCTATGAAAGTTAATCCGGATCTTGTATAATCTTTATCACATAACATTGCTTTGAGTCTTACCTTTTGGTTATGAAATGAAGGGCGATGAGACTTGCTTCAAAATTGTTGAACCATAGATGGTTTAGTAATAGCATAAGTTTCTTGGAGTTCAATAAATCAACTGAGTGGAACCTAAGGTATCCATAGTGTAGATGTTATTGCAGTGAAGAAGGGTGATGAGACTCGCTTCGAAAATAAGTAACTTATTGATCTCTTTGCAAAGTCCTATCTGATTTGCCAATTCAATCATTTAACTGTCGCATTTCTTTCCAGGGTAAATCAACTTGGTAGTGGTCACCTTTTAATTTCATGGAATTTATCTTGCCAAATAGCAATCTTACACTTGACATTCAAAATGGTTGATCTCTGCTACCCAAAGGGGAGGCAGAGAGTTTGAGCCCATCTAGGGGCAAATATTGTAGGTGTGTGCGTTTGCTGAACTTTTGGAGGGATAAAAAAAAAAACACAAACTTGTAGACATTTGTAATGCTATGAAAACAAGGAATGATTTCACTTTTTGGATGAATTCTAAAAAAATCACTAGTAATTTTTCTCATCATATAAGGAGTACACACCACTGATTGGCTGCGGTTCCATTCTCTTTATCCTGCTTGTCCTTCTGGCTGCTGTAAAGTTTAGTGCTGCATACTTTGTTTCCAACATCCTTGTTTTAAAAAGGAATCTTCAATTTCCCCAGGCATCTTTAAATTTTTATCTTTGTGATCATTGTTTCTCTTAATCGTCTTTGCTAAAGAAATGATGACAAAATGTTGTCTGCAGATATCTAGAATTCTTGATGATCTTAGAGCTGTGACTTTTACTGTGGAATCCTCTGAAGATGAGGCTGGGAAGGTTTTACTTGAATTACTCCAGCAGGACATAGTTGCATCAAATTCTATTAACACGTCTGAATTCAAGGCTCTTCAACTTGCAGCTTTAAGGCTAAATATTACGTCCCCTGTAGCTCTCCTAATTGAGAAAAGGTCTATCAAGAAGCTACTTGAGAAAATCCAAGATACAAACCCCACGAAGAAGAAAATCTTGAAATACCTCTTGTATCTTCTGAGGAAATATGGAAAACCCATTACCCAAAATGGACGACCCCTCAATCAGTCCATCGAGCCAGAACTACAAGTGGATAATGCAAGTAAGGAGGATAATGCAAGTAAGGAGGATGAAGCGGACCTGTTCGATATAGCTGACCCTCCTGAAGAATTCTTATGTCCTCTCTCGAAGAGACTGATGTATGATCCCGTTATAATAGCTAGTGGGCAAACATTTGAAAAGGTGTGGATAGAAAAGTGGTTTAATGAGGGTCGCACAACATGTCCAAAAACTCATATGAAGCTGCTTGACTTGTCCCTCACTCCAAATTTTGCAATAAAGGACCTCATTTTAAGGTGGTGTGTGAAGCATGAGATCACTATTCCTGATCCGTGTTCACAACCCACTTCTGCACCTCTTCGCTTGCAGAAATGTCCATCTTCCAGTTCCATTCTCAGCCTCGGCAGTTCTCTAAACGAGTTGCGGCTTCAAACCAGCAATATATCAATTCGCTCTTCAGATACTACTTTTGGTTTAGGTTTATCAGATTACAACGATGGTGATAAATTCAGCTTTGATCTCCCTCGTATGAATGCAGATTCTCAGAGAGTCCAACCTTCAGCAAACAGCCACGGCACTTACTTAGCCTCTCTCTCCAAATTTGCTGCACTCTCACCAAAATCCCGGCACAAAGCAGTGGATGATGTGAAGAACCAACTGAAAGACAACCACCCAGGATCTCATTTTGTGTTATCTAACAGTTGCATCGAATCTCTAATTATATTTTTAAAAGATGCACAAGACTTGCATGATTCAGAAGCCATGAGAGATGGAGCACAGTTGCTTTTGACATTTTTGAGTGAAAGGTAATGCTTCTTTATGAGTTGGCATAGATACCAATTCTTTACCTTTGTTTCCTTTCCTTTTCTATTTTCCTTTTTATTTTTTATTTTTTTAATAGAGATGGAGGCAGAGCTTCTGGACTGGACCTCACCCTTACAATGGATATGCACATGTCACATGAAAATCGTACAAATAATGTATCGGAAAATGAATTAGAAATTGTGTAGGATTCTGGTTTATCAGAAAATCACTATGCACAAAAGCTTAGCAGCTATGAAATTGGCCAAATGATTATATCAATCCCTGACATGGTAATATTGGTGTTAGAAACAACTTTTCTTAGAATCAAACTGCAATCAGAAATAAAGCTCAAGCAACCGGGCCATGCTGATGACTTTAATATCCTTATTGATAAATACTTAAGCTAGATAGGTTTCCAGAGTTATAAAAATTGTCATTTGAAGTTTGAGGTGGTTGCCTCACGCTGCGAGAGAGGCACATAGCTTGCTAACACTGCTCTAGTCAGATCTATAAGCTGTACCTATATCAAAGGGTATTACTCATATCGAATTGCATTTACTTTTATACTTATATAAATTGTTTATTCCATAATATTTCCTCGATCTGTTCCTGATCTTGTTAAGTGTTGACTAGATGCAAGCTCATGCTTTCCTTTTATCGTGATTTTTGCAACTCGTGCAGACTTTTTTTAACATGCTAATTGAATTTCTTCTTTTTTTAACAGAAGTGAAACGACACCTTTGCGAAAAAATGAAATTTACGTATTGTCATCGTTTCTCGATTCTGATATCAGTAAAGAAGCTCTGGCTATCATAGAAGTTTTGTCTGGTCAACAGCATTACAAGTCTGAAATCGTGGCATCTGGTGTTCTTCCTTCCATCTTAGGAATCCTTGAGAACCCCAACAGTGAATTCCATCTACTTGCTATGAAAATACTTTGCAACTTGTCTGCAGATAGTGATGCTGGCCACCACATGCTATATCTAGATTACATCCCCAAGTTGTCTCCTTTTTTGGTTGATCGCGCTTTTGCAGGATATTGCATCAAAATTTTCAAAAACATGTGCAGTGCCGAGGAAGTAAGGGCTACAGTTGCTGAAAGCAAAGTGTTTATTGCTTCCATTGCAAAACTGTTAGAAATTGGCACCAATGAGGAACAGGAACTTGCTTTGGATGTTCTGCTTTCTTTAGATTATGAATGCGCAGAGTATTGCCAACTGATCAAGAAAGAGAACATTATCCTATCATTAGTCAGTATATCTGTCAATGGGAATGCCAGGGGGAGGTTGCTTGCAAAAGAATTGAAGCAGCTTCTGAGACATTTCAAAGATGGCCGTGTTCAAGAAGGTGCAAAATCTGGTTTAAACGTTGACATCTCACGAGAGGATCACCCAAAAGAATATAAATCTTGCAAGGCATCAGGAATACTGGGAAGGACAATATTCTCGAAACGCAGGTGATTCACATTGTTCCTCTATTTGGAGAAAAACAGTCGCCATGCCGGGAATATGTATCCTTTTTGAGAAGAGGATGAGTCTTGGCATTGCACATCAGTTGTTAAGTGATTGTGTTCAATGATTATATTGATCCCCAGTATTTAGTTTAATATCAGTATCATAGGAATGTACGGTCTTGCTGCATTTGTAGTAAGTAGCAAGCTTTTGGCCCTGTAGATATACATGCTTTATGACTTTTTGGTTACTCTCTCAAATAGTTTAATCCTACTTTTCTCAAAAATACTTTATGTACATGGATATCTATATTTGTGTATATATAAATCTCTATTTGATGTGGTTATGGATTACGGGACGTTGACATAGTCACGTCGACGTCGACGTCGACATCATTTGGACGTGCTGTAAACATATTTAGGAAACTTTACACGCTTAAAAGACATCAATAATAATTAATAAACATGTAATTGTAAATACCTGTAGAAGCCAGTACCAATCGGGCACCAAGAACCAGAAGAATGGACAACCACCAAGATTCAAAAGGATGTGCAGAAAAACAATGCTTTTGGTTGATCTTTCAGTCTCTGCACTAAAACTCATGTGTCTCTTTAATGGAGCAAGACTACTAGAAACGAGCTCAGTGTGAGATAAAATCCCTCTCATCAAGGGATCTTTATTAAATCACAACACACCCAAAGTAATGGGATCACAACAAACTAAGGTAATGTGACTTATGTTTAGCATTATAGGTACCAGTATATAATGCCAATAAATATAAATCCTATTCATATTTCATGACACATGATTACATACGATTAAGGTACACCACAACCCATATATTCAATAATTACAACTGCATTAGGTATTTTGAAATCTATATTTGGTTTCAATTCTCAATCCCGGATTTTCATAGTACTAAATGTTATTCAAGCCCAAAAATTCTTACATTCTCTCGCTTGGGCAAATATTGATTACAATATATATATAGTAGTAGTGATCTCTTACTCCCGCTAGAGTAAGAATTTTTTTTTTTTTTTTTTTAGTGACACATTTCAAACCCACCTATACGCTTTCCTTTTAATACAAAATCAATATCACTATTTCTACTTTCTAAATTTAATATTTATCAAAATCACTAATTACAACAATAAAAGGTAAGTACCAAATAAATTAAAATAGAAATCGCTTCACCTATCCAACGTCTCACCACCACTAATTGAAAATTTTGTTTTCTTTGATGTCTTTGTTGTTACTTTACATATTAGCTGTCTTTTATACCTTTTTTACTTACAAAAAAAAAAATTATGATAGTGAAAAAAAAAATTTATGATAGTATAATAATAGCAGTATTAAAGAAAACAGTTAGAAAAACAACTAATTTACAAAGGAAAAATAGTTTGAATTTCTAATTTTTAAATGACATGTATTTAGGGTAGTATATAATAATTTAAATTGCAATATATTAAATTTTGAACAATGCTTGCCTCTGGTCGCATAAGTAGGAATGTCCTTTGGACCCTGACATGGACCAATAAAAATATGACATGTGTCAAAAACGTTTTAAAATAATTAATAAAAATTACTTGAGATTTTCTATTGCAAACCCTTCATATTGCAATCTGTTTACAGAAAAGCTAAACAATTAGCCCAAATATGGTAAATTAACCACAATTATAAGACTCCAATTATCAATGGAGTTTAAGCAAATCATTTTGGCTCTAGATTGCAACAGGTGGTGATAAATCTCAAAATTTTGGATACCACTAAAGTTATGCGTATTTATTAATTGGTTAGCCTATTGAGTCATTCTGGAGATGGGGTTGCAACAGAGATGGCAGGCAACGAATGTGGTGGCTTGAATCATCTCTAAAGATTGAATGTAAAAGATTAGGGTTTGGGAATGGAGAAGGTGGCAAGCAGTGGAGACCGGCAAACAGTGGAGGTCAGTTGGCAGAAGAGAGGATTAATAATAGGGTTTCAGAATTGGGGATCGATGGTGGACATCAATAGGGATTTAGTGGGAAGAGAGAGAAATCGTGAGAGAAAATTCTCTTCCTTTTTGGATGACCCGTGAAAAGATCCGAATGATTCAGGTTTAATTTTTAAATTTTTTTTTTTTGGACACATGTCATGTTATTATTAGTCCATATAAACATTAGAAGGAGAGCTCTACTTATGCGGCCTAAGACAAGCTTTTTTCTTAAATTTTTGATGGGTGAAGTGTTGTCCAAATCATATGTTACCTTAAGTTGATCAAATGGATAAAAAAATAGAGATTTTATTTTTAATTTTTATTTTATTTTTTAGTCGATGTTTTGTATGTCAATAGTGTAATTTTTAATTTCTTTTTCACACTCAAATAGATAGGCAATGTCAACTTTAGTATTAAGTCATGGATGCATTTTTCTAACACTCATAATTTTTTTAAAAGAAAACAAAATTCGGATTAGTGGTGAGATGTGATTTCGAGAGGTGAAGATATTTTTATTTTTATTTTTTTAGTACTTACCTTTTATTGTTATAATTAATGGTATTGGTAATTCTACATTTGGGCCAATGAGGTTTTGAAATGATAATTTAGTAATAGCAAATTGCTATTAATTTTTGTGCCTATTATGTTATTTAAGATAGTCAAGGTGTTGAGTTGATTTATTGTGATTAAATATGCATGCTTTTATTAGCATTCATTACATTGAGTATAATTTTACAAATGGTTTTTGGTTGTGCTAAGTGGATGGTATTGTAAGACTTGGTTTCGAAAACATGTAATTATAATTATTTATGTTGCCTTATAGATCTTGTATTTGACAAAATGCTTACATGAGGAACTTGCCATTGTTATAAAGGTATACTATGCCTAAGTTGTCATCATTGCATTATTGAGAATGCCATGATAGTGGTTGGACATTTGGGCATGATCCGCGTGGATAGAATTGCTTATGTGCGCTTGTGAGGTACAAATTGATTATTTATCGATATGTGATATCTTGTGGAATTGGATGATGATTTTGGAATTCACGTGGGACCTTTTGATACTTGGGATTGCTAGCGCTTCGCACTAGTGGGTGAAATCAGGGTTTCCTCAACTTAATAATGGCCCTTAGGTTTGTTCCTTGCGGTTTAGTAGACCGAAAATACCGAAGCATGCATCAGGTATGTCCGGGGGTGTGCATAGGTTCCCTTTTATTGATTTCAGATCTTATTTTTAAGTTGGCATACATGTATAGTTGTAACTTGGTTTATTGTTTATATATCCAATTCTTGTTTTATTTTCAAGTTGGCATCCATGTATAGTTGTGACTTAGGTATTTGTTTATATTTCATTTGCTATGTATATGTTTACTAGAAATAAAATGGATATATGGATATGTGGATGTTCAATTGTTGGTTAAGATAATGCCTTTAGGATTTTCCCAGAATTAGACGTTAGGGAGCATGTCCCTTTGCACTGTTTGACATGGGCTATTCTTACAAGGCCAAGGGAATGTAGTTTGTGTATCTACCTAGCATATTTCCTACTGAACATTGTAAGCTCACCCCTCGTTGATTACCCCTCGTTGATTACCCTTTCAGCTATTGAGGATGCAAATTGAGGCATATGGATATTCGTTGCCATGTTATATTGTAACTAATTCGGGACATTGTAACTTGAGTTAATGTGTATCTGTGATTAGTGTAATCTTACTTTTAATATACATTTCAATTTAGATAAAAGTTGATGTAATTGGGATATAAGGCCATTTCTTCTCAATGTATGAATTCCATCATATCGCACACACCAATAAATGTTGCACACACAATTATTTGGTTCACAATTGTCCTAGCCATGTTTTTTATGTCACGAGTTAGCTTGACACATCATTTTGACCATATGGACATTACCCCAAGGTTGTTAATTTAATGTTCATAGCTTATGCATATCCTTGTTGACTTTTTAAGTTTGATTCATACTCATTCATTTGCCCATTTCACTACCTAATAGGATTAGTCCATGTGTGGGATTGGAAATGTGAGGTTTTTGACTCATTTTAGGTTTAATTTTTGCTCTCAGCAAAAGTTAAACCAGTCAAGTGCAACTGGTTTCATTTTTTGACGAATTTTTTCTCTTAGCCAAAGTTGAACCGGTTGAATTTTCAAGTGCAACTAGTTGCACTTTCTGGGCACATTTTAGTTTGGGAAGGTTAACTTAATATAGCCACAACTTGTTCATTTGAGATCCAAATTAGGTCATTCTTGTTCTCAAATTGACCATCTTGAAACAAGCTTTTCAATGGTACCAATCTCATTCAGAAATTTCAACCATGGAAGGAGTTATAACCATTTTAGTAAGGGTTGGTCATGTTTTCCATATGTTAATAAAAATGTCAGTTTGTATCGAAACCATTCCTTTAGGGCCTAGAACCTCATGGGATGTTCATAAGTGTTTGGTATGATGTTAATGAACTTCATTTTATTCATATTTTGGGTTACGTTATCCATGTAGGCTAATGTGGGCTTTAGCTTCCGCATTTGCGATCATTTTTTTTTATCCTTTTATCCTTAGCTTTTGTAGTTGTAGTCGTGCTTAAGTCTTGTTGACTTTGTTTGAGATTCTTTTGTTGTCCTAGAGATGGTATTTGTCTCTAGTGATGATTTTATTCTTATTTGCTTCCGCATTTGGGTTTAGTTTTCGGGTTGTTCAAACATTCTTAGTTAATGCAATGGATCATGGGATTTGGGGTATTACAAATAAACCTCCCATTATCCAAGTATATCAAAAGAATTCACCAAACCTATATTGATTACATGATTTTTGAATAACCCAATGGGTAAATTTTTGGTTAGTGGGTCTATTCTCATTGCTTTAGTCTCTATGTGGTCAATCACAATCTGCCCTTCCATCACTTTCTCCCTTACAAGCAAGTACTTAATTTCCATATGCCTTGCACCAGAAGATATCTTAATATTTTTGGAATAAAATACGACAAAGCCATTATCATAAAACATCTGCATGGGCCTAGAAATTGAGTCTAATACGCGAATACCTTTAATAAAGTTCTTTAACCAAATACCCTGAGAAGTGGCTTCATAATATGCTACGAACTTAGCTTACATAGTAGATGAAGCGACACATGACAGTTTAACACTCTTCCATGAAATAGCACCTCCAACCAATATAAATACATAACGAGAAGTTGATTTCATATCATCAGGACAACTTGCAAAATCAGCAAAATAATGCTCAGAACCAGGATTAACTTGAAATCTCGCATGCATATTAACTGTAAATGTTGTGTCTGGACGAGTACATACTTGAGCATACATTAGGCTATCAATAATAGAAGCATAAGGCTTATTATTCAT